TCTTCCTGTTATGGGGAAAAATATAAACCTCTTGTTGTTTAAGCCGCTGTTCTTTGTGTATCCAGTTGCTTGCAGGAGAAAGCTTCCCTAACTGATTGACCAACCTTCCCCAGTAACTCCAAATAGGAATCAAACAGTACTGTAACAGCACAAATGAAATGTGACCAAGCATCACAGAGCCAGCTCCATGCTCTGACCTGCCATGACAAACTCCAGAAGGCACTAAAAGAACACCAGGTCTGGCATCTATACAAAAGCGCATAGAGCATAGGGACCTTTGATTCCACCTGATCCTAGCACCAGATCATCACACTTTTCAAGCGTTGTGGAGAATAGACTAGAAAAATAAAAACAATATAAATCTCAATCCTTGTCTTCAAATGACCTTCATAAGAGTTCCTTGTGAATTATGCAACATAATTCCAACAAAAGGGACAAAAATTTTACCACTCCATTTTCCAGCCTGCCTCTAATGCAAGTACTAAGTAATATGTACATAGGCAGGAAAAGATAATGAAGGAAAATAATTAATACAGAGAATGCAAAAAGTAGCCAATTAGACTAAATGCAAAGACAAAGAAAAACAAAAATCTCCACAAATTAATACGGAGAATGTAGACTAGTCACCTGCTACTGGATTTCACCTAATTCACTGATAGGTTTTTAACCTACTCTGAACTGTAATGCTGATAACAATGAAATAATGCAACAGTTTAAGAAGACATTGTAAACCCAGCTTTGAAAGTGGTGCAAAAAAAGCAAGAATCCAATTACAGTGAACTAAACTGCTGTTATCAGAATAACCTTAATCCTTCAATTCTTTAAGCAAATGCCCCAGGACCTTTGTAAGAGCTATTTATACATTAGCTATTTATTACCTGATTGGCTATTTAATACCTTCTTGGCTTATGAGTTGAAAGCTAGTCATTGGCATTTTAAAGAGTACCTTTCACCTGGACAACCTGAGTGAGCCAGTGTCTTTACCAGATTTAGCATGAAATATATTTGTCTTATCAGCTTTAATATCAAATGTTTCAACGTTCAGATTTCCAGTGGTGTCACGTTTATGCTTCTGTTGGTTTTTTTTTTTTACCATTTATTTGTTAAAGATCCAAATAAGTTTATCACATTACAATTGATCACTATGTCTTTTTCCCAGCTTTACTGAGATATAATTGACATATAACATTGTGTAAGTTTAAGGTGTACAATGTGATGTGAGCAATATATTTTTTTTGTTTTGGTTTTTGGGTTTTTTTTTTGCGATACGCGGGCCTCTCACTGTTGTGGCCTCTCCCGTTGCGGAGCACAGGCTCCGGACGCACAGGCTCAGCGGCCATGGCTCACGGGCCCAGCCGCTCTGCGGCACGTGGGATCTTCCCGGACCGGGGCACGAACCCGTGGTCCCCTGCATCGGCAGGCAGACTCTCAACCACTGTGCCACCAGGGAAGCCCAATACATTTTTTTAAGCTCTATTTTTTTTTATTGAAGTATAATTGCTTTACAATGTTATGTTAGTTTCTGCTGTACAATGAAGTGAATCAGCTATACGTATACATATATCCCCTCTCTCGGACCTCCCTCCCACCCATCCCACCCATCTAGGTCATCACAGTGCACCAAGCTGATCTCCCTGTGCTATACAGCAGGTTCCTACTAGCTATCTAGTTTACACATGGTAGTGTACATATGTCTATCCTAATCTCCCAATTCATCCCACCCTCCCCTTCCCCGCTGTGTCCACATGTGCGTTCTCTATGTCTGCATCTCTATTCCTGCCCTGCAAATAGGATCATCTGTACCATTTTTCTAAATTCCACATATATGTGTTAATATACGATATTTGTTTTTCTCTTTCTGACTTACTTCACTCTGTATGACAGACTCTAGGTCCATCCACATCTCTACAAATGACCCAATTTCATTCCTCTTTATGGCTGAGTAATACTGTTGGTGGGAATGTAAATTGATACAGCCACTATAGAGAACAGTATGGAGGTTCCCTAAAAAAACTAAAAATAGAACTACCATATGACCCAGCACTACTACTACTGGGCATATATCCTGAGAAAACTATAATTCAAAAAGATACATGCACCCCAATGTTCTTTGCAGCATTATTTACGATAGGCAGGACATGGAAGCAACCTAAATGTCCTCGATACATCTTTTAAGTCTCTTTTAATCCAAAGGTTTATCCTCCAACTCTTTTTTTTAATCCTACAAATTGTTGTTTGTTGTTTTCCACAGTCTGGATTTTCTGATTACATCCCTCGGGTGTAGTTTCATGTGTTGCTCTCTTCTCTGTATATGTTGTAAACTGGTCGTTGGATCTGAAAGCTTGATCACTTTCTGGTTCGATTATTCTTCCATCAGCAAGTACCACAATGACTGGTTGCCTTTTTGTGATACTAGCACACTTTTCTGTTTATGAACTGTTTTTATTCACAACACTTCTGACACCAAATGTGTGGGTTTTCTATACTAAGCAATTTTCCAATTCCCTATGGACACCAACCGAGTGTCCTACAAGTCAATTCAATTCTAACACTAACTACTAGGAGTTAACTCAGACACCGCAGGTTAAAGGCTCAGATTCACAAAGCTGCCCCCACTTCAGTCTTCGATCACAAGTCCCAGGCCTCTGGTACTTCAGACCAACCAGCTATAAATCGGGAGTACCATCCCCCCCAGCACCTCAATGTGTTCACCAGCCCAGAAGCTCTCCAAACCCTACCAGTTAGAGGGTTTTGTGGAGATTCCATTACATGGGCATGATTCATTAAATGGGAATGCTGACTGATCCATTTCTAGTCCCTCTTCCCTCCTCAGAGGTTGGGGAGGTAGGGCTGAAAGTTCAAACCTATAATCACATGACCAGTTCCTCTGGCAACCAGCCCCCTTCAGATGCAATCTAGGGGCCCACCAAGAGTCATCTCGTTAGCATAAACTCAGGTATGGTTGGAAAGGGGCTAATTACGAATACCAAATTATGCTCCTCTCAGCTCTATCGCTCAGGATATTCCAAAGGTTTTAGAAGTTCGTTTGTCAGTAACCAGGATGACAACAAAATATGTATTTACTATATCACAATATTCAGTTCCTAGATCACTAGATTATTAGGGTTTATAATTTGGTTATACTGTATCATTCCTTCGTCATTTATTATTGGAATACTTCTATAAAAAAGACATATTTGTTACTTGGTAATACAGTTCATATTGAAAAGAGAATAAATGCTTGATTTCCTTTTTTTTTTTAACTCATTTTCAAAATAATAAGTTGCTTCTCCAGAATTCTTCAATGGTGATCAATTTGTTGCTTTTCATTTTATTTATTTATTTATTTTTGGCTGTGTTGGGTCTTCGATGCCACGCATGGGCTTTCTCTAGGTGCGGAGAGCGGGGGCTACTCTTCATTGTGGTGCACAGGCTTCTCATTGCGGTGGCTTCTCTTGTTGTGGAGCACAGGCTCTAGGCATGCAGGCGTCTGTAGTTGTGGCATGCAGGCTCAGTAGTTGTGGTTCACGGGCTTAGTTGCTCCACGGTATGTGGGATCTTCCCGGATCAGGGCTCGAACCCATGACCCCTGCATTGACAGGTGGATTCTCAACCACTGTGCCACCAGGGAAGTCCTGCTTTTCATTTCTTAATATTACAGACTCATGAATTTAAACATATTCCATGTGTTTCAATCAACTTCTATTATTGTTCTACTGGTGCTCAATTTGTTTCATCTTTGGCCAGTGGGAGCTCTTCAGGTTGACTCCAGAGTCCTTCTGACACTCCCTTAGCTAGTCTTTGATAGCTTTCTTGCTATCAGATAAGATGTTTCAGACTCAACTTAAAAACCTCCTAATACTCTAGTTTCTCTTCAGATTGAATAAATCTTTTGCCTTTTACTAAAACAAACAAACAAAACTTTCTGCTCCATAGCTAGAATCAGCCATTCCCCCATGGAACCCTCATTCCTTTTAGTAGGAAATGGTGTCTGGATTCCATGATCTGAGAGCAATACCTGTCAATTCCTTCATTTATCAAACATTTTCTGAGCAGTTAGTATGTGTCAGTTGTAGGATTTGGCTTTCAAGATACAAAGATATAACACAAACTCAAAGAGCTGACAAACCAGTGGCATATACTTAGAAAGAATAGATAATCAAGAGATGTAGAACAATGCAAATAAGCTCTAGGCAAAATAATCCATTTGAAATTTATCTGGTCAGGTAATACACTTTGATCTTTGTAGTACTCTTAGAGAGAAATAAGTAAGATTCACTGTGACATAACTAGAGAAAGACCCAAAGAACTATACCTATACTATACCTTGGCTAAGAAAGCAGAATTGAGTCATTTTCTAGATATATAAAGCACTGCTACTTATCAACGTCAATCAGAGCAGGGGAAGAGGAGATCAGACTTATCTTCAGGTATACAGAGTTACGCTAACGACTGAATGCCTTTCTCATAGAATGTTAAAATAAAGGTCCTTGCCAAACTAAGGAAATCTTTTCTTTCTAAGCATGCATATATTTATCATCGGTGTGTTTCTTGCATTTAATACCACACTATTTCAAAGATTAAAGTAAAATATTTCTCAAGCAAAAAATGTTTTGAAAATTGCAATTTTTCCATTCACTAATATTTTACTTCCAACTGGTAATTACTTACAAAGCAGCTTACCTTTTGTCTGTCTTATTAACTTTCCCTCTTCTCCATTTTCTACTTACATACCTCTCTCTGTTTCTTAAACTTGTTTCTTCCTGACTTTCTGCGAAACACAGCTTATTCAGGAACCCCACTCAAACCAGTAAGAAAGGGATAGAAAAGGCAAAACGAAATTGCTGCCTGTGTTAATTTTAAAAGGAAAATTCCTTTAAAACAGTATCTAACACTCTGTATTCTCAAAACTAAAAATGTTAACTTGTTTGTAAATGTTACATGCTGTACATAAGTTACAAAGATAAAGCATTCTAATGAAAAGTAATAAAATCTCCCACCTTTCAGCACTAAATGCTGACTCCGTGTCAATGTACACAACGGCTCCTTCTAATCCTCCCATGTTGGTAGGTAATGTAGCCAAAATGCTCATCATTATACAAAACTGAGTTTTTCCACAACCTGGTGGACCTGTAATCTAAAATTTAAAAAATTGTTATTTGTATAAACATTACAATCTAATCAAAGCAAAATCCTTTTAAGAACTTGCTACATATACAGTCCAACTAACCTGGGTTCCCAGAGAGAACATTCTAATACGCCCCTTGTATGTAATAAATTAACTTCTCCCCTATGCATCTGAATTGGTACTAGTTATGCACCATCCCTGGGAGAAGTGAGAAAATAGTCACGCAGACCATCCTCTGTGTTCTGTAGTTCAGATGAAAAACTGGTTGAGAAAGCCTTGAGGATTCATTTATAAATTCACAACTTGGAGTTCTATACCTTTTCCTCATTAAGACATTTATAGAAAGATCTTAAAAATATTTAAGAGGCTTTAATAATTGGTTTAGCATTTGTTATCAATTGGCCTTTCAAAACAATTTTGTACTAGTACTAGTACATTTGTACTAGTCCCACTAAAAGGTACTTTGATCTTTATTCTTAAAAGTATTTAGGAGTAAAAGGTATTGATACATACAATTTAATTTCAAATGAATCAGAAAAAAAGTGTATGTGTCTGTGTGTGTGTGTGTGTCTTGCAGAAGAGAGATAAAACAAATAAAACAAAATTCAATAATTACTGAATCTAGGTGATTCATACTTTGAAGTGTATATTTTAAAATTTTAGTTGGTGGAAAGCTATTTTGAGATTATAAAATTCAAAAACAAGAGGATATAGATGGAAAAGAATAGGACGTTAATCACAGGCATATTTGAGTCCAACAGGAAGCAGTTAACAAAAATTAATTTGAAAATATTAAAAATATCCCCTTTAACACGCTATTTGTCATACTGGCTGTGGCATCCAAATTTTAAGAACCAAAACACTATCCCTTTTGTGAGGATAACACTAATGAACAATTTTTCACAATAGGAAGAAGGGAAAAGAAGAGGAGGAAAGGAGAGAAGAAAATCTCAGGTAGAGATGAACAGAAGTCCAAGCTAAGACTGAGACACACGAGATCTGAAGAAACTGTCTCAGATATACTATGAAGCAGGAAGAAATAAGAAGGGATGACCCAGGAGTCTAAATCATGGAGGCCAATGGTTCTCAAACATGAGTGAACATTAGAATCACCTGGCAAGCTAATCGACCAGCATTTCTGGTTAACAATAGGCCTGAAATAGGGCCTGAAAATTTACGTTTCTAGTAAGTTGACACTGATGCTGCTCTACATTTGAGAACTACTGTTTTTGGAATTTAGGGTAAGGGTAAACTTCATTTATCAAAGTTTAACATTAAAAAAAACAAAGGCTCACAAGCTAGAAAGCATGTGCTGATTTATAATCTCTAAAACAATGATATAGACTTTTAGGATAAATAATTGCTGCTAGCAGTAACAGTGTGCCAGATCATGAGTGATCAGTGAGAACTCCAAAGTTCTTTGATTACATACCCCAACAAACAAACCAAAAAAAAATAAAAATTTTAGTATGAACCTCCAATATATGCATATGTATCATATATATACTATTTTACTAATACATTCTATGCAGTATAAAACCACATGAAATAGGGGTTAAAAAATAAAGATTACAAGCATTTAAAAATAGTTTCGTATCTTGTTTTAATTCTAAAGTACAATACAAATCAATAGTTTCATAACATATATTAGTTGTATAGACCTTTTCACTCTCATAAAAACTTATTAGCACTTTTAGTGGAGCAAAGATAATAATGAAAATAAATGAAACTATGTATGCTGCTTTTTAAATATTGATTTAAATATTTTGTAATTCAGTAACTGAAATGTCAGTTCCTAAGTTTTGCTTATTTCAGTACTTAATTGCAATGGCTCTACAGTTGAGAAGGTGATAATTGCAAAACTGCAAGGATTGAAATTAAAGAAATACATGGTTTGTTGTACTTAGGAAATCATTATTTTTTAATACCTTTTTCAATTATCAAGTTTTTGTTAAACTCTGGCTATATAAATTTTTTTTTTTTTTTTGAACAGAGAACAGGAGTATTTATTTATTTATTTAGGGCTGTGTTGGGTCTTCGTTTCTGTGCGAGGGCTTTTTCTAGTTGTGGCAAGCGGGGGCCACCCTTCATCATGGTGCACAGGCCTCTCACTATCGCGGCCTCTCTTGTTGCGGAGCACAGGCTCCAGACGTGCAGGCTCAGTAGTTGTGGCTCACGGGCCTAGTTGCTCCACAGCATGTGGGATCTTCCCAGACCAGGGCTCGAACCCGTGTCCCCTGCATTAGCAGGCAGATTCTCAACCACTGTGCCACCAGGGAAGCCCCTCAACTAATTATTTTCGTAAACTAATCAAAATATATTGACTTTTAACATTTTTAATAATTGGTTTCACAATCAAAGGAAACTATCTGGAAGATTTCTTAACAGTATAGAAAATATTGTTAAAGTTTTTTAAAGTGTGCAGATAGTAAAGTTTTCACAAGATACACATCTTTGATGACAAAAATCACATGATAAAAGAAACATTTCCAAGCAATGATTTGAAAAACACTCTGTATTTTGATCTCTGTCTTTTAAGAAGCAGTTACTTTCGCACTCATTGTAAAAATATCCTTTACTTTGAAGGGATGGAGTAAGAGTGTTCCATTGGTTGCTTGCTTGCTTGGTTTTCAATCTGCTAGGTGGCATATTACACAGCCACTTGTTATACAAAAAGTGTCAGCAAATTTGACATATCTTGTCCTTTCATTTTAAAAAAGTTTCACCCATCTTTAAATTCAACAGTCTTTTACAATCTTTGCTGTGAGATAACCAAAGAAGCTCTTGTGATTCAAATGACTTTCATGGTCACTCTTCGTCTCATTACAGACTATACTACAAAGAGTCAATACTTTACCAGTCAGGTTCTTATAAAAATTGTACCATCCTGAAGCACTCTTCACACATCTGACATCAGCTTCTGTGTTGCTATAGACTGCCTAAGGATGATGTAACCGAAAAATTCAGAGTTTTACAGAGAACATTCGTATACCCACCACCTAGACTCTGCAACTGCCATTTTATTGTTACTGTACTAGTACAGTATACTACTACACTATACTATCCATCAATCCATCCTTCTATCCATTCATCAATCCATCTTAGATGTTTTTAAATGCATTTCAAAGTAAGTCAAAGACATAAATATACTTTCCCCTAACAGTTCAGTGTGTATATAATTAACCTGAGTTTAATGTGTATTATTTTTTTTCCTTTTAAGGTAAATTTTACACACAATGAAATGCCCAAATCTTGAGTGTATCACTTGATGAGTTCCAGCAAATGTATATGCATATGCAATCTAAACCCCTGTCAAAATCAGAATATTAACATTACTACCAGGAAATTCCCTCATAAACATTGCTTTATATTCAAGAAGTCATTTATTTTTGAGACTATATCTTCCTTGACACATCTTTACTTTTGTGGCCCAAAAATAATTTAGTTCATGTATTTCATTACTGAAACAGAATCTAGCTTATTAATACGATAATCTGGGCCCTGTTAGAAACTTCTGTACTTTTATTATATAGCATCTTTCCACAATGAGTAACTTGTTTTAATTCTTGATGCTTATCATCAGCAATGATTTCCATCTGAAGGTATTTATTCACAAAAGAATCCACTTAAGTTGTTGCCATGTTGTTTCCTATGTCTTATTTCATCCACTTTACTGTAACAGGACAGGAAGAACAAGAGTGTCCCTGACAGTATTAACAATGTATTGCATTTGGCCTTTTGCTCTTAAGAAAACCCAAAAGAGGCTTTTAAATACCTATCATTAATTTTAGTGAAATTTTTCTAGATATTGAATATGTATCACATGACTTTAAAAGTCACTGAAAAACCTGTGGAGGTTCGTCTTCCTGTGATGTGTTTCTTAACTATGATGGCTTCCTACTATCATTTGCCAGTATTTCAAGGAACAAAATAACAGAGGAAGTTTCACTGTTAACAATAATGGATACAATTCCATATATCAAACTGTTTTCTTTATAATTTCAAATTTTTTGGATGTCTTCACAGATGAGATTAGACTGTCATTGATTTTTACTTCATTAATTGTAGGAGAGTCATCAGCTCTGACTTTTATGTACACGTGGTTCACTTCTGCTCACATTATTAGTATTGCCTTCAATACATAGTTTCTTTGCAGGAATCTTTTTATGCCATTTGTCTGCTTTGTGAGGTATGATTTAGTTAAATCAATAAATCCACCTAACTAGGTACATGCAGAACTATAATTCATCCCAATATGTTGAAAATAAAGATACAATCAAGGTACCCCTGTGAACCTTCTGTATCCTTTCCTCATGGACTATACCTGACACATGACAGTCGAACATACAGACCAAGTAAGGATGCCAGTGTCAATCCACTTATTCAATATCAATAAAGGTTTATTTCATGTTTTAAACTGAAATACCAATAAAAATTCTAATATCTTTTTCCCACAACCCAATGGACCATCTTACATACTGTCCTTTGGAGACTGGTAGTTTTGAAGAGCCCAAAACACTTTTCATGGACCTTTTATCATCATCAAGGACAACATGGATCAAATTAATCACCAGACATCAGAGCAAAGGAAACTTCTATCAATAATAGTTGAAAGGGGATCTTGAAAATGAGAAATGATGACTCTTCAGAGTGCTAACTAACGGAGGAACAAAGGACTTCCTTTCTATACATAGTACCTACATGCCCGGTTTTAGATATATTCTAAGATTTAATGAGCTTAAACCCATGAAATGCTTTGTGATTTTTAGTGGAAAGGTGAAACAAGCCCTCAATTTAAAAACATTTTTTAAGATGTTATATATGAATATATTCAGTAAAGTATCAAATACCATGATACTGTAAGGTGTTATCTTATTATTCCATCTTCAAAGAAAACATGTAAAAAAAAATCTGAAGTTAAACAAGTGCAACTGGTATTTTACCTGCATCATTATTTTTTTTTTTAACATCTTTATTGGGGTATAATTGCTTTACAATGGTGTGTTAGT